TCTCTTCCCATGCTAAACACATTCCAACCATCAAAACCATGCCAGGACAGCTCGTTTCTCTAACCCTAACCCTACCCTGGGGCACTCCCCTAACCCTAATATAGGGGTAAAGCTCCATTGAAAACAATGCGATTTTGAAGAAGCGTTCCTCAAGTGGCGTTTTCTGCACCGCTCATCATCTCTTCCCATGCTAAACACATTCCCACCATCAAAACCATGCCAGGACACCTCGTTTCTGTAACCCTAACCCTACCCTGGGGCACTCCCCTTACCCTAATATAGCGGTCATGTTCCATTGAAAACAATGCGATTTTGAAAAAGCCTTCCTCGAGTGGCGTTTTCTGCACCGCTCAACATCTCTTCCCATGCTAAACACATTCCAACCATCAAAACCATGCCAGGACACCTCGTTTCTCTAACCCTAACCCTACCCTGGGGCACTCCCCTAACCCTAATATAGGGGTCAAGTTCCATTGAAAACAATGCGATTTTGAAAAAGCCCTCCTTGAGTAGCTTTTTCTGCACGGCTCAGCATCTCTTCCCATGCTAAACACATTCCAACCATCAAAACCATGCCAGGACACCTCGGTTTTCTTGCTCTAACCCAGTGATTGGGCTGTCATATTGAGGTGCGAACATTGACCCTCAGCCGCAACTATCAACATTCATCGGCTTATTTCAGCTTTAAAGTCTCTTCTTCTCAGGGAACCTCCTCACATCCCCGGGAGCCCCCAGTGGGTGCTCAGAAAACATGACATTCCTCGTTTCACCCCACAAGGACCAGTTTCCCATCATGTGGCTTCTAATTTTCCTTTTTGTTTTCAAGATTCTGGCTACTTGTTCAGTGGGAGCCGGCCCCCATCTCAGATGTCTCTTTCCAAGGAGTCGCCTGCATCGGGTGAGAACAGAAAACGTCTTGAATATCAACCATCACAGGTTTTGACTAGGCAGCAGCATGGGGTGGGTGGTCTCCCAGCCCCTCAGCTGGTGAAAAAGCCGCGTAAAATATAAATGCACAGGAATCCCCCTTCCAGACAAGCACTTGTTTGCATTCCCAAACGTGTTCTCCCTTCTCTCTATTTTCCAGAATATTTCTCCCTGCTTTCTGGGAGCTGCGTCCCCTCCCCTGTGCCATCTCCGGCCCCATCGGTGGCTGGATCCGTTACTTCCAGCTCTGGCTCTCTGCGTTACCGCCGGCCTCTTATCAGTCCCGCACGTCTCAACCTGAAAGGTCAGCGGCTGATGCTCTTCTCGGCCCAGGGTGGGAGCCAGCACGGGGAAGACCTTGCCCACTCTGAAAACACTGTTTTCACCTCGGACGTGCCTGCCTTCCCAAAAAGGAACCGTGGTACTCAAGGGACACATGGTACGTACCCCTTGGGGGTTTGAACTGAGAACTCCCCCTGTGCTATGGCTGGGTTGTGTCTTTAAGCTGGAAATTAGGCATGCTTAGATCTGAGGGCTCTCTTCTGTCAGAGAACGGAATAAAAACGGGCAACGTTGACCTTCGTAAGTGGCCAGCAGTGTGAAGTTTCTGGATCGGTTGGAGCTGATAGAAACCCGGAGAAGCCAGCCCTTCGGGCTTCCTCTGGTCAGGAGGGGCGCAGTCTGGAGTGTTTTGCATTCTAGCTAAGTCTTCAATTCCAGCAACTGGGATGTTAAAAAACAAAAACCCAACATCTGCACAAGATTTGAGGTTCTGCCACCTCTGCCCACAAGTCTTTGCGCCACCTGGTTTGTGTGGAATGGGGTGCTTCCAAGCTTGTGTGGACACCAGGTAGGACTTCGCTTGTTTCGAATGTTGTCCTCAGCATTCCTGACCATTGGCCTTCGGCAGGGATTCATGGAAACGGAAGTCCAGAACAGCTGGGGACCTACTTTCTGCTCCCCCTGGAAGAAGCCAGTTTGAACCAAACAGCCAAAAGGGAAGCTTGGGATGGGAGGGGTTTGTTATTTAGAGCAGAGGTGTGGAACCTCAGGTCCTTGAGCATCCTAACCTGGCCCTTGGTTTGCCTTGCCTTTCTCCAAGTCACAGGTAAGTTCCTTCCATTTCCCCATTTGGTACTTTCATGACTTTTCCCCTAATTCTAAATGGTTGAAAAGTCTCTCCTTGCAGGCATTTGAGGGGTTTATGCTAAAATATACTTGATGGTGTTTTGAGGATGCTGTCTTGCCGTCAGCCTTCCCGTCACCAGGATGCGCCTCCCAAGAGATTCTCTGAAATGGACACTTGGGCTTCATAGTGTTTCGACTCCCCTGATTGAGAGCCAGGAGTTTTGGCCTGCAGCCTGAAAATAATCTAGTATTTTTTTGGTAACGTGCCGTCTGGAGACAATCCTCTTGCAAACCTGCATCTGTCCTCTCCCTGCCCTTTCAGACACGCGATTCGTGGTCGAAGCGGGAAGCATCTGCAGCGACACCTCGGCGAAGAAAGGGGACCGCTCATCACAGTCGTCCAGCTGCGTGGTGGACACCACGACCAAGGGAGAGGAACCGGCAGGCTGGCGGGGTGAGTGTCCCTGGACGGGCCTGCGCGTCTCTGCCTGCGCATGCACGGACCGCGGTGCGAGTGCGCCCGTCCGTGCGTCTCACAGAACAAGCCGCTCACGCTCAGAAGAAAGAGGTCTTTGCATTCCATTGCAAATCTCTCCTGCCATTTAGAATGGAAAGCACCAGCTGAATGGGCCATGTATCCAACCTTACACCATCTTCCTATGTCGAAACAAAGGAATTTCCTACTTAGAGCCGGCAGGGCTTTTGCAGGGTGCTATTTATGACCTAGGATCTCAGGCAGAGCATTCGCCTCGTAGGCAAGAGGGACGTGTGTTCGCGTCGCCTTCAGTTTTTAATGTTTTGCTACCATTTTATAATGTTTTACAAACTGGTTACTGGGCACCTTAGTTTTGGGATGATAACCTTGGTTTGCTCGCATCAGAGCGATTGGGAGCTCCAGTGCTGAAGAAGGATGTGTTACCTGTGTGCAAGAACGACATGCCGCTTCTACGAAATAGCCTTCTGCAAGCTGGTCCTTGCTGGGAGAGTCGGGACAGTGAAATTCCCCTCATCCCCAGCCAAGGCGGACAATGGCTGCCTTGCTAGGCCAGCCTCCCCCAAAACTAGTTTCCTCTTGCCCCGATAACTTGGATGATGTGGCTGTGGATGATGGGAGGTGTTGTCCAACCCATCTGGAGGAGACGAGGCTGGGGAAGGCCAGATCTGTAGCTCCAGGTTTTAGAAACTACCAAGCCCAGCGTGCTGAGCCTCCAGGTCTTGGCTCCCTGGGGCTCCTCAGAAAGCTGCCTCCCCCTCCGCAGTCTCCAAGCAGTAATTTGGGGCTCCCCCGGTCTTGCGTGGCTTCCCCCTCCCCTCATCCTGCAAGGCTGGAATAACTTTCCGAAGGCGAAAATTACAGGCAGCAAGACCTGAAAGCTAAGCTATGATAAGGACATCGCTTGGGGTTCAGCGGCTGAGAGCATCTCTCAGTGGAACTGCGTCCTTGGGCTGAAACCGCCTCTGAATCCCTTCTAGAGGGCCTGGTTTGTGTTGTGCTTAGGACCGAGTTGCTCATCACTTTACCTTTCGTTCCCTCCTCTTTATAGTTTTGCTAAACAGTTGCTTATCATCGTTCAGGTTCCTTCAGTCAGTCGTCGCTCCGAGGGCTCCTCGCCATCAGCCTGACGGTCAACGCCATCTTCACGTCCGCTTACCTCTACCAAAACTTGCGCTGAGCCACGTCGCCAGGGTGGGGGCGTATCCCCCTCCCTTTCCTCCTCTTCTCAGGTGCCACGCTCTTCCCTTCCAAAGACGCCGAGCGAGAGATCCCGAGATGAGAAGCATTCTGCCGAAAATCCGCACACTTCTGGGCTACACACCCGCACTGCTTTCCGGCTGCCACGTCTGACTGCCAGCCCGTTCGAATGCTGTTTCCGACACAGGGAGTCCGGAGTCCAAATTTTCCTTACTCTCCTGCAAGCAAAACACTTCAAACAATGAACAGCTAAAGGAAACTGGCATGCAGAGGCCAGGAGGACATCTCCAGCCAGTGTTGGGCTTGGAATATCACTGGTCCCCTTGCTCCTTTTTCCGTTGTCGTCGTTGTTGTACAGAACCAGCTCGCAGGAGAAGTTTGATGGACTCCAAGGGGTAGAACTTGGGCCCACTTGGGTCCGGCTTTTGGCCACATTTCCTCGCTCGCCGACAAGAATTCTTCTCCCCGGAAAGAACCCAGCCGTTGCATTGCTGTTTTCTGACAATCCTGCTTGGTTTTGCTTCTGGCCTCGGTCGCTTGCCCTGGTGGCACTTCTCAGCTGTGTGTCTTGGGAGAACAAACGAGGGTGCCGAGAAGGTGTCGGTGTGGACTCACCCTGTGGTGCTTCTTCTCTGGCCCTGGACTTCTAACCACTCGCCCCCTGCATTGCTGTTCATGAGAACCGGTTTGCAAAGTCCCATTAACGAATTCAGTTTTTTAAATAACAGTCCAGTATTACAGCTGCATTTTGCCTTGCCGATCGGCACTGTTTCTACTGTATTCCGAGGTCCCTGGGGCAGCCACCGCATCTGCTTGATCTTGGTCCTTCCTGAAAACGTTTCCTTTGAACGTGCTATGCTAAAAATGCTGCAACTAGAGCCAAAGGGATTGCACATCTTCAGTGACCAGAAATGTGTTCCTGTCATGCTCCGGAGGTCGCCTGCATCATACCCTGGAGCATTTTGGGCAGAGGAATGTCTTAAAAAAACAAACAACTAAGACTTGGTGTTTCTTTCCTTGCTTCAGTAGCCGAAACCTGAACTGTAGGTCAGTTGAAGAAGTCTTTGTCTGTGTGAAAACTCAAAAACCTGGTGCTCACCAGAGCCTGTGATTGGACTGTACCACTTTGGACAGTTAAGCAAAAGGGTTTATGTAGCTTGAATACCCTTTTGTGTAGAAAATGCTCTTCCCTGCATATAGAAAGCTAGCAGGCAGGGGAAATGATGAAGCTAGAATGTTTCTTCCTGGCAGTCTAGTTTTCTACATCCAGGGATTTTTATTTTTCAGTGGTTAAGCTCCTCCACTTGTACTCTGATGTGGTAGAGTCCAGACATAGGTTGCCCATCTTCCCCTGCTGCTTTCGCTACCATGGTCACGAGTGCTCATTCCAAAGATAACTCCCAGAATTGTAATTTTCGATACAAGCGGGGGCCCAGCTTGCCATCCTGGGTGCTTCTTTCATTTGTCATCTTGCCCCATTTAGCACTTTTGTGGGCATGTAAAATCAGCTGTTCAACACGGACAAAAACTTGACTTGAACTCTCCCGAGAAATTTTCCCTCTGTCTCGGCCTGTCTCCAAAGTTAAATGTCTGCCTGTGCGGAACAGTTAACTTGAGCTTTTTCTGTTCTTTTTTGGTGTGTCGGTGGGGTTGTTGTTGTTGTTGCTGTTGCTGTTTTTTAAGAATCCAATCGCATATTTTTGCCATGCAGATGTACAAAAAACCCTCTCAGCCTGGATGCAATTCCTGGCTTCAGACTGGCGGGAGAAATTAAGTCTCGCCTGGTGCTCCCTTCCCTAAAACTTCCTGCTGCCTTCCCAGCTGTGACGAGCAAGCAAGTGGCTTCTTGCGGAACAGGCCCGGTCCAAAACTAGCCCAGCGGCCGGGCAGGGGCAGCAAGCCAAAACAGCAGCCATCTTGAATGCCTTTTCCACCATGAAGGCAGCTGGGGAGACTTCCTGGTTGCTAGGCAACTGCCCCACACACCCTTTCCTTGCAGAGCCATTTGGGGCTGCCATTTTGTCCCTTTGGGTACACAGTTGGGCAATGCAATTCCAACACTTCTCCTCGAGTGTCTCTGGCTAGGAATGTGACGCCGCTCATGACTTCCCATCAAGATTTCTTCTCGCCCACCCACCACCCCAACATACACTCTTGACAACCTCATAAGATCTCTTATTATCTCAATATTTTCAGGTTGTTTCTCCATAAGCTTAGTAACCACCCTCATGCCCACCTTTTGGGGCTCCTCGCTCACGTTTTGCATCCCATGGTATGTCCATGCAGATCCTTTCCTTGATCCTGCCTGATGGAGCTGGGCAAACAGGTCCAGTAGGTTGTGAAGCCGTGGTAAAACCCTGCCAAACCTGTTTAACAGGGAGGAGTGAGTACGCCATCAACAGATTTCCCCCTTGCAAACTTCCTTTGAGTCTCTGCAAGGAAAGCGTGACGGCCGATGGTTTGGCATCCCTTTGCTTAGAAGGAAAAGAAAAAACAGGCTTTTGGCTGTGTTCAGTCTAGTGCAAATGATGCACTTGAGTCACAATTGTGCATTTGTACAGTGGTACACAGTGTCTTGAAAATGCTGCACTCAATGTCTTAATCTCTTTGATTTTTGATGCCGTGCTCCTCTCCAAAGCAAAACAAAACTTCATTGTATCTGCCATGGACATTCGCAGATCCAAGAAGCTCCTGAGTTTAAATGACCATTGACTGTATTCAGAAAAACCGGTTTCTAAAATGGTCAATTTTCCGCGGAAGCAAGTAGAGTTTGTGGGGGCACAGAAACTCCCAATAATTTTTGGATGTGGTTACAGGCGCATGGCGATAGGATGTGTCCTGTCGTGCAGACTTCTCATGAGCTTTTGCCAGAGACGCATAAGGACTAGAACCCTGCTGAATGTATCAGCAACTGCCTTCAGGGTAACTCTTCATCAAATACACTGTGTCCTGTTCAGCTTGAATTTTAGGGAGGGCGGTGGGTGGAAGGGGAATCTATAAATTAGTTGGTTGAGGGGGGGAAATGGCTGAGTCTTGATTTCTTTTCCACTAGGAAAAAGGTGTGTATTTTGTAGGTATGACTGGGTGGGGGCAGGGGGCACCCCTGTATAGTTTAGTTAACAGTTTGTGGTTTTGGGTGGTAGAGGGGATTGTAGGGGGGGTTCCCCCTCCGCCCCCTCACTTTCTCCCAGGAGGTTTATGTTCTGTGTTTTGAGAGATTATTTTTCATTATAAAAATAAAAGAAGTTGATCCTTGAATGTCTTATTCTGCCATGTTATTATCAGAGGAGAAGAAATGGCAGGTGTCCCCAGTTTTCTGCCCTTCCTTCCAAGCTCTTCAGCCCTGGCATTGTAAGCTCGTTAGTCCTATTTTTGTTTGCACAGCAACCCTGTGAGGTAGGGCAGGGCCGAGCGCTTTAGTCGAGGTGGGAATTTTCAGTCCAGGTCTCTCTGGGTCTCAAGTAGAGTTTGATCCCTCAAACTTGCCAGGTTAGTGGAAGCAGAAGCAGAGGAGAGGAGTCTAGGCAGCCAGTGCATAATTTAGCGGAAAGTTTTTATTTCTGGTAACAGGAAAGGTCCTCAAGATAATTGTTGGCCATTGGGAGAAGTTGTAAATTCAAGAGCCCAAGGGACCTCTTTGTAAGCATTCGAGTGCTTAAACACTGGGGTCATGTGACTTCGGATCATGTGAGCTCACAACTGAATGCAGGAATTGCCTGCCTGTAGAAAGCTAGCATGTCAGGATCCTTTCTCCTGGCAGGCTTGTTTTCTACAGGCGGGGATTTTTTTTTCTTTACTAGCCTCCTTGGGGACTTTAAACCCCAGGGACTGATGCAGCCCTCAAGTTCTCCCAATGGCTGCTGAATGTTGGTTGTCAGTTTCTCTCTGATGCCCTCTAAAAGCTTGCAATGCTTCTTCAAAGACTTCAAAGTCTTTAAAACACACCTGGAAGGCTGGTGGATTCTTTGCTTCTAGTGATTAAATCCTCGTGTTTTGTATTTGAGCTCTCCAAATTTGGGCCTTTTGGTCTCCTTTCTGAACCCTGCTTTCTCAGCCTGTATATTCCAGGCTAGTAGAAATTAAGAGGATGGGAAACATTCTGCATGCGCTCTAGAGGGCCCTTGTGGTCGTGACTTCCACTTTGGAGTTTCAGCTGTCCCCCAGGCAGCTGCTGCTAAGAGAATGTGCACAGTAGAAACCAAGAGACTCCAGGAGCATGGCCAGAGTGTCGTACCGTCTCCTTTTCACCAGGTAGATGCTGATCTTTAGTAGGACAACAGCAACGGGATATGCAGAACCCACCTGGTGCCTCCGGGCTGCAATTTTAGCCTATCGCCATCAGCTATTCTGCGGGGGGCAGACCACCAACATCTGGAAATTCCTGGTAATGCAGGAAGGGCCGAGACCTGGCCTGTCCCCTTTAAATGCATGTAAAAGCTGAGGGGAAGCTGTCTCCACATTAAACCGCTTTCTTGGCAGTTGGCAAGCGTCCTTCCCCAGCCCAATGTCAAAGACGAGGTGCCGGGGTCAAATCAAGGCCTATTTCGTTTATTTAAACATTTCTTGGCCGCACGTCGGGGGCACGAACCCGTCTGGCTTTGTGTAACTGTATCAAGGCGCGGAGGAGACTTGCCGGGCGGCTGGCCTTTGCCACCGCGTCCTCCCTCTGCGAATTGTGTCGATTACTTCAGGGCCTCAGGATCGTAACAAAGTTTAGTGACCTGCCTGTGAACCCCAAGACCTCCGAGGGGGCCAGCGTGCCGTGGGGACGTAGGATATAAATAGGGGAGACGGAAAGCGCGGAGCCGGGCGCACGCTGCCGTGGTTCCCGTTTGGCGAGGGGAAGCCGGAAAGGTTTCCTGCGGATCTGGCCACTCTGGAAACAGTAAGGAGCAGAAGCGAAGGAGACGCGCGGATCCTTCAGGAGTTGCGATCTGCAGAGGAGGTGTATCGGCAAGAACCCTTCAAAAGCCGACAGAGATCTCCCTTTAAGTAAAGCGTTGCAACTTTGGACTTTGCCATCAGAAAAGGAGTTCCGTGTTTGGGATCCTAGTTTGTTGTTTTGGGGGGTTTTTTTAACATTCTCTCAGATCTCCGTCCCGCGGTGTTGGCAAACTCTTCTTGGTTTCCCCGAAACAGAAACGTTTACAAAGCTGCGTTTTGCGCGCTGCTTCGCCCTCCCTCGGGATAGAAGAATTAGCCCAGAGAGCCAAAGGCGCGCACGCTTTGGAGAGGTACGACAAGGCAGTGTTCTGGTTTGATCCTGCTTAGAGTAGACCCATTGGAATGAGAGGGACTTAGCGGGTCCCTTCTCGTCAAGGGGCCTGTTCTATGTCGGGACCGAGGGTACCCGCCAATCTAATCCAGTCCAATCCAATCCCCCGGCGCGTCACAGGGTGGATTTTCCCGCGTCGCGGGTGCGCACAGGCGGATGTCCCTGGAGCATCCAGGAAAGGTTCAGGGGCGCACGGATGGGGGAGGGAGCGAGCTCGGCCGGGGGCGCCAGGCACGCTGCACTAATCCAGCTTCCTTTCAGGCTGAGGTGGGCAGCGAGCCATGGGGGAAGCCGCGAGCGCAGGACCCGCCGAGGAAGCTCGGGCGCGCACAGAGGGAGACGGCGACCCGGGGCGCTTCCCGAAGCCCCCTTACTCCTACGTCAGCCTGATCGCCATGGCCATCCAGGACAGCCCCGAGCAGCGCTTGCCCTTGAGGGCCATCTACCAGTACATCTCGCAGCGCTTCCCCTACTACCGGCCGGGCCAGAAGGGCTGGCAGAACAGCGTGCGCCACAACCTCAGCCTCAACGACTGCTTCGTCAAGGTGCCGCGCGGGGCAGCCGAGCGCAGGGGCCACTTCTGGGCGCTGGATCCGGCCTCCCGGGGCACGTTCGTGCAGGGCAGCTACCGCCGCCGGCGGCGCGTGCGAAGCGCTGCGCTGGATCTGCCCCCCTCGGCCGCGCCCCCCGCGCCTCCCGCGCCGGCGCCGGGTTGCTTCGCCTGCCCGGAGCCCGCGCTCTCTTACTTCGTGCCTTGCCGCCAGCAGAGCGCCCCCGCCACCTACCTGTTCGCTGCGGCGGCGGCGATGGGGCAGCCCCCGCCCCATCCTATGGGCGGCAGCCTTCCGGGGATGGGGCCCGTCGGCGGCTACGGACCCACCCCCGGATTCTTGCTGCCCGGGGCGGAAGCTCACCAGCAAGTAAGCCCCCTTCCTGCGGGATCCGTCCCCGCTTTCCAGCCACCTGCCAACCTGTCGCATCTGCACTGCTGGAGCTGGCAGGATAGTTCCTACTATACTGGCTTAGACATTTGATGCTGCAAAAAGGGCGGGGGAGAACCCATCGGGCCAACCTTTGTTGTTTTGTCTCAAGTTTCTAGTCCTGTGTAACGCTCCCTCTAATTCTCAGTATGGAGGGGAGGGCATCCTATTGGAACTTGGTCCTCCAAAGCTGAACCCGTTTCCCAAATATGGTGGTTTCTGGAAACGGGGGTGCCAGCTTGTTCAGATCAACCCTGCACCTTTGCCCACGTGGTATGTTGATGACAGACCTTGTCCCCACCCCTGAAAACTCAGGGTCTGGCTTCTGCAGATGAACTTGCTTGCTATTCAGGGGAGGAGCAGACCTGGTCCCCTCCCTCCTGGTCAATGTTGAGTCTGCAGAGTTATTTGAGGGAGGTGCCCTGTATCCTTTTATGGGAAAGCTAAGGAGAAAGACCTCAAGAACTCTGAAATGACACCCCTGTGTTGATTCTTGAGAGGCAAAGGAGGGAATTCAGGGGGACAGAACACTGTTGCCAACTTTTCAGCCAGCCACCTCGACTGCACCACTAAGGGTAGCTTGATTTTCGGAGAATTAGCAGGTGGTAAAACTCGCTCTTTAAATAGGTTGACCTGGCAGGTAAGCAGCAGGCAGAAGTGAAGGGTATCTCTGAGAAAATGTTAACCCTAATTCAGAGAAATCCCAAGTAGTGTAGGAAGAATGTTTTGACTTTGGAGTTGCCAGCTTCTTACACCAGCTCCCGTTCCTCTGCCTTTAACAAAGGTAGGGTCTGTAGCCCCTGCTTTGCTTTGCCTGGCCAGGCTGCGAAAGGCAGTGGAATGATCTGTTCCTGGTAAGTTGGCAAACTTGTTTTGAAAAGGGGCATATTTTAGTTCTTTGTTTAAAACAAAGGAAAGTGGTGGCTTTTTGCCTTTCTGTGCTTGAAGGTTGGGTTTTGATTACTTCGAGTTACTTTTCGCACATTCACAGAATAAGTTTACAATGAGAGAGAATTCTGTTCTTTGTTGCAGATTAAAGAGCGATGTTTGTTGCCCACAGATCCAAGGGGTTGTGCCCGGCTGATCGTTTCCTGTGAAACTGAGTCTGCAGAAATCAACCCCCCCCCCGATGCTTTTTGCAGGCCATGCAGCATGTTAATTTCTGCACGACAAATTGCTGTTAAATTCACAGGACTACAGACTCACAAGGGAGCTAGTAAGCCTTCTGGGACTTCAGCCCTATGAAATGCTTCCCCATTCATTCACTGGGGGGAATCAATCCCGGCATATTTTATGCATGGACTGCTTTCCTCTCCATTGGCATGAATGGATAGTTTGGCATCCATTCTGAACTTGAACTGATCTCTAGAGTTATGCCAGACTCACAGGTAAAACCCACTGAACGCTTAAGACCTATTCCGATTCACATTTTTAGGGCCGGACTGTGAGCAGCCATTGAGGGTAATGGTGATCTTTATGCACATATATTGGGAAAAATACTCTAAATTCCATTTTTGTGTTTTTACCATGCTTCATATATGTCTGTATGGGTCCATTCTGCAGCTAAAATTGTACAAAGTTAAAAATATGGGTAGAAGTTCAACAAGTTGTTTAATTTCCAATGCATATTCTGTGTTTAAAACGATTTCAAACGTGACAATGATTTTACATGTGTATACACAGCTCACCTATAGATTTCTCTGAATGAGGAACAAACTTGAGTTCATTTTGCGGTGAAGAGTGAAGCGTTTGCAGTATCCTGTGTGTGAATGAAACTTCTCCCAGGGTGTTTGCATTTCCTGATGGTTAATACCAAAACTGTAACTCTGCTGTTGTTGCTTAAAGGCTTACTGGATACTCCCCACTGGTGAATCGAGAGATTTTTCTGTCTCTTTGCAAATGCTTTTCATCCGGGGGATGAAAATGAGGCCTCATGGCTTGGCAAACCTCCTCCCCAGAAAGGTTCCCCTGTTTCCTTTGGTGGAGAAAATACCTCTTCCAACAGCCCAAAGCCCCACATGGTACAAGATGACGATGCAGCACTTAGCTTTTCGACATGAGGGTTTCATGATGCACTTGGGAATCTTCACACAGAGTTGTTTGCACGCATCAAGGGCTCTCCCGTACTTCTCTTTCTAGTCTGGACGTGTCCAGTTGCGAACCAACTGGGAACAAGTGACACCAGGAGCAAAACATTTCAACTGGAGTGCTACTGGTCCAGAATCTAACCAGCCATGCCTTTCAAGGCGCTCCGTTCTGTCCCTACCCCCCACCCCAGCAGGGGGAATATGCTGAACAGATTCGTTGTACTTCTACAAGATCTGGGCTTCCTCCAAGCCTTGTGATGCTTCCTTGTGACTAAAGAAGGCAACAGTGCTATTTCCGCTCAGCAAAATGTGACACAAACCAGTTTGGTACGTGCCACATTCCTAGCGTAATTTTTCTCATTCATTTACAGTAATGTTTTATCCTGCTCATCAGCCAATAAAAAGCTCCAAAAGAAGCTTACGATTTGTTAAACAAAACACCCCCTGCACTGCAGGCTTAAAATCTGAAAAGACATGGCACTAAAGGAGAAGGGGATGGAAAGGGCAGAGGAAAACTGAAGCAAGCTTTCAGCAGGATGGTAGAATGGTGTTTCCCCTCGTCAGCTGAGGGAGATCAGCGATTGCCAGCAAGATGGGGAGAATTTTACATTAAGTAGCAACTTGGTGGTTGCTGCTTTGCGAGAATCTTCTGGGCATTTTATTAAGTCCTGCTATTACCTTCCTTTGCCACCTGGTGCCACTATAGGACTAATGTTAAAGTCCTTAAGGCTCCCAGGGCAAAAGGCGTACAATGGGAATATGAAAAAACATAACAGAACATGAAAAAAAAAAACAGATCTAAACAGAACCTGGCAGTGAAGGACTGGACACAGCAGCTGAAAAACTAAAATGCCTGGACAAATAATTTTTAAAAGGAGCACAAAGAGAGCCAGGTAAGTCCCTTTGGGAAATCTATTCCTCATCTGCCTTGTTCTGCTCGCAATCCTTCTTTATGAAACCCCATCAATGGATGGTCGCTTGGACCCCTTTTCTGGAAAAGACCCTGATGCTGGGAGCGATTGGAGGCAAAAGGAGAAGGGGATGGCAGAGGCCGAGGTGGCTGGATGGGGTCACTGGAGAGGGGGGTGTGGAGTGGATGGTGGAGGACAGGAGAACCTGGAGGAATGTTGTCCATGGGTGTGCAAAGAGTTCGGCACAACTTTGCAACTGAACGACAAACAACACCCCTCAAATGTTTCCCCCCTTTGGTGTGTCCCTTTGCTGACCATATTAATCCCCTGAACTGGGGCTTCGTGCCTGTGGCATGTTGCATTTCTGGCCCTCTTGAATCCCCCTTTAACTTCCTTTTTGCCAGTTCCCTCTTGATGCAGCAGGTTCCTCTATTGTAGGTTTTATTAGTTTAGAACACCCAGAATTCTCAAGCTATTAAAATCATTGGTTGACAATGTGCACCATAATTCAGGGTGGGGGGTGGGAATAGTCAAGCACCGGGTCCCAATCTTGCAGGCAGGTTGCTAACTTGCATCTTTTTTGCTTCTATTTTCATTTGTTACCTTCAAACTCGGAACAAAACTCATGCGCTGGTAGCAGAAAGCCATTTTCTCTTAACTGGGTTTCTCCTCTCTGAGGTTTCTTCGGTCAATAGTTTCCCAGCATTACTCTCTCCCTAAACACAGCTTGCGGTAAAACTGGGTGAGAGGGGAAATGTTATTTTTCTCTCTCGGCTGACTTCCTTTTGGTTTCAAGCAACCCACGAGCGAAGAGGAGGAGATGAAGTGACTGCATCTTTCCGTTGCCATCCCGCCTCACTTAACAAAGCCCAGCACGGTTAGCCACAAACAAGACTTCCACGGTCTCTTCTTGTTATAATGTCAAACACTCCAAACAGCGTGAACTGGCCTAGTAAATTCAAAGCAAATATTTCAGAAGGCAGACAAGGGTTGCTGTTTTAAAAGTCGAGTGTGTGCAACGCAACGGTGATCTGCTCGGCACCCAAACTGCAAATTTAGCCAACCGATTTAGAAACAGAGAAACAGCGCGAGTCAGAAGGGGCCTCCTGGGCCATCTAGTCTGATCTCCGGCACCAGCCGGCTCCACCCACAACATGCCCACCATGTGCATGTCCAGCCCATCTCTGAATACCCTGAGGGCAACGGAGGCCATCACCCGTCCCTTCGGAAGGTTTCCACTGCCAAGGGTTTGAAATTCTTTTGTTTTTAGCTCTTTGCTTGTTTATTTAATGCACTATCTTCCTGCTTTCTGACTGATGGTCCCGGAACAGTTAAGCTATCCGTACAGTCCTCTAAAAAGGCCAGGCCCAAACATCTAGCAAAGCTTTTAATACTGCAGCCCAAGGGTGGGGATCCTCCAACTTGCCAAATACCCATCATTGGGTGGGTTCCCTGCTTTTGGGTGATCCTTCTGCCCCCCTGCATTTGAAAAGGCCAAGAGGCTTCATTACTGCCAGTAGGAGCTTCCGGCAAAACCACCGTCATCCGTTTTGGACTGTAGGACAGCAACTCCTGAAAGCGTCTCCGAAATGGGATTTGGCCCTCAGACTGAAAGAGCCCCGTTTCTCTCCACAAGCCTTCCCCACCTCAATTTCTTCCAGACGTCTTAGACTACACGACCCACTGACCCCATCCAACAGGGTCATTGGGTCGGCTTGCTGGGAGTGATGGGAGTTGCAGTCCGGCACATCTGAAGGGCCCTGCTTGTGGGAGGACAGTCTGTCCCCCTTTGCAACAGGTCTGCAAAGTTGAGGGGAGAGTTTGTTTTCAGCCCACCTGGGAGACGTCCGTTCCCACCTGAGGAAAGTCAGGACAGAAATCGACTTTGTCTGCGGAAGCAAATCCAGTAGAGAGTCTGGAGGCATTTTTAAGTCAACCAGTTTCCTGCCTTCGGTGGAATATACCAGCGGGACCTGATCCATGACTGTAAAATGCCACCAAGTCCGGATGGGCAAATAGATCTGCTGGGCAAGCTAGCCTGTACCAATGTTGGCCT